TAAAGGGGATGGTCTGAATAGACTAATGGTTAGCTACATATCCTTGAAATCAATCTCTCCATCTTGGTTGTCTTCCCTGCAAAATAAAGTCAAAATGGACATAGTACTCCTTTCTTTCTGGCAACAAAACTCAATGATAATCTCTAGAGCATCAGTTCCCAAACTTTCTAAGTTCCTAACACCTTCAGTATTTCAGTATTTTTTCACAACAGCACTAGGCCAAGAAATACTAAGAGTTCCATTTATCAAGTTGTTAGTAGTGATTTGAAAAACTCATCTACCTTAGCTTAAAAAAAAAAAAGTTTTTACTTCATTCTTAAATGATCAGAATTCCGTACTTCCAGAATGCATATTATGGTTATGCAATGCACTACTTCTCAAACCCTGGAATGAAATTGGACACTGCTATTCTTATTTCCTATTTCTCACTGATCTTCATGCAGTATTTGCACTTTGTCACAGCAACCTCCAAAAATCCAACTTCACAGAGACACATCATCCAAAGGAATGTAGCACATTCTAATGTTCAAATCAGGAACTATGTGAAGCTAGTAATTTACCTGGCAACCAACAGATGTCAAGTACTGCTATATGTTCTTTGAAAATTTGAACAACCACACGGTACCTCTGTATGTTGGTGACAATACGCTGGGGTATCTTAGTGTAGTGTTGGGAACATGGCCCCTAGCAAGTATTATATAATTTTGTGGCTTTGCACTCAGACAGACCTAGGTTAGAAATCATATTCTAGGAGTGCTGGGTGGCTCAGCTGGTTAAGCATCTGACTCTTGTTTTTGGCTCAGGGCGTGATCTCAAGGTCCTGGGTTGGAGATCCAAGATAGGCACCACGCTCTCCAGGAAGTTGGCTTGAGATTCTCTCTCTCCCTCTCCCCGCACTATACAAGTGAGCACATGCACTCTCTCCCCTCCTGCCTCTAAAATAAATAAATAAATCTTTTAAAAAAGAAAAAAAAAAAAAAGAAATCAGATATTGTATAATCTTGAGTACTAGGCATAGAAACTAATCTATGCCTGCCAAATAGGAGTAATAGTACCAACCTCAAAGAACAGTTATGACAAATGAGATGATATCTGTACATAGTAAATGCTCAATAAATGCCAGTTGTTATTAAATCATTCACATTTAAACCAAATAAACATTCTAAGCTGAAGTCACAATGTCAAATAAAAACTTATGAACAAATTTTTAGGGAAAAATCATAGTGCTTAAACAATGACAATATAGAGAACTACAGTCTCCTTCAAAGGATGCCATAATGTTGCTATACCTATGACAAAAATGACTAGGTAAAAGGTTTTTAAACTGGTAACTCAGAATATACTTCCAAAAACACCTTTTAATGGACAATCACACTAGGAAAAACCAAGTTTTATAAACTAGGATTCAGCAGCACTAAGAACTTCCTTTTAAAAATACAATTTCACATTGGGGCGCCTGGGTGGCTCAGTGGGTTAAAGCCTCTGCCTTCGGCTCAGGTCATGATCCCAGGGTCCTGGGATCGAGCCCCACATCGGGCTCTCTGCTCAGCAGGGAGTGTGCTTCTCCCTCTCTCTATGCCTGTTGCTCTGCCTACTTGTGATCTCTATCAAATAAATAAATAAAATCTTAAAAAAAAAATACAATTTCACATACAGCAAAATTCGATTATAACAAAGACTTTTCCCAAACAGCATAATAGCTCATTATACCTGTGCTCATACCCTTAGTCTCATAACATGCTAAGAATTTAACATTTTAATTCCAAATGCACTGGTGTATCTTCTATCTCACAAACATCTTTAATAAAATTTGTAATACAGGGGCGCCTCAGTGGCTCGGTTTTTGGGCATTTGCCTTTGGCTCAGGTCATGGTCCCGGTGGCCCTGGGATGGAGCCTTGCATTGGGCTCCTTGTGGGGATGGGAGGGGAGAGTCCGCTTCTCCCTCACCCACTCCCCTTGCTTATGTTCCCTCTCTCACCAGCTCTCTCTCTGTCAAATATATAAAACCTTTAAAAAAAATCTGTAATACAAGAACACTGTAAGTGCTTGGTTTATGAAAGGATTTTTGAAATATTTCATTTGATCCTGAGATATCTCTATTTACTCAGGAGACGAGGTATACAGAAATTAAGTAATTTTTTCTACAACTTATATATTACTGTTCCATGCTAAAACCAGTGTCCTTTTTTTTTTTGAAGATTTTATTTATTTATTTGACAGAGATCACAAGTAGGCAGAGAGGCAGGCGGGGGGTGGGGGGAGGCAGTCTCCCCACTGAGCAGAGAGCCTGATGTGGGGCTCGATCCCAGGACCCTGGGATCATGACCCAAACTGAAGGCAGAGGCTTAACCCACTGAGCCACCCAGGTGCCCCTAAAACCAGTGTCTTTTCATTCTTTCTAGTACACAACTCCTTTCCAAAAAGACTCAGTACAAATCTTGTTGGTTGGACCAGTATTGTTTAATCTACCTGTTACAAGTAGGTTAACCATCACCAAAGGCCTGAAAATCTTTTCCCTGAACAGTAATGGCATTTCACCTGCAGAGACTTTTCATTTGCCAAGTATGTGGAACTGTGCAGCATTAATTAATAATTATTCTTAAATCACATTATGGGAAGATCTATTATTATAGATACAGTGGCTGAGCCCACTGGTATAATCTCTAAGCCCAGAATATTTCTCATTTTTCACTTAGCTGGCAGTCCACTGTTCAACTCTAGATGGAAAGGTAACAGAAACTATCAAACTGACCCTTTTACCCTTTTCTTCTATAACAAGCCAAATGCGGTGGCCAAAATATTTAAAAGGAATGGAAGGCAAGACAACTTGTCTTGCCATCACAGGTCTATGCCTGCCTTTAAACTTGGTCCAAGCAAATTCCAAAAACAATTTGCCAGCTATCTTTTCCCCAAATTCCCAAATTTCTCTCAGATACATATATTACTATTACTTCCAAAGGTATCCTAAAAGCAATTTATTAAGGCATTCTACTTCACAGGGACTACTTCTCTAAAACTTGAACATAAATGCAATTCGATAATTAACTATATTGGAAAGCTAAAGTGTTAAAGAAATTCTGCAGGAAGTCTTTATATAATGTAACTCATCACTCCTATTTTATACTACATTTAAAAATTACCCTTTTAGGAGCGACTGGGTGGCTCAGTCAGCCAGTATGCCTTTGGCTCAGGCCATGATGCCAGGGTCCTGGGACCCAGCCCCTTGTCACACTTCCTGTTTAGCAGGGAGCCTGTTTCTCCCTCTCCCTCTGCCATTCCCCGTTGCTTGTGGATTCTCACTCTAATTTAAAAACAACAACAAAAGCAAAACAAAACAAAAACAAAAAAACCCCTACCCTATTATATGCCACAGTTTGTTAAGGGTAGAGATTTGGGCTATTGGTAAGAAGAGATATAGGCCTGTACCATAACTGCTATAATAACCTGAGTCTTTAGTAGCCACAACATTTACTCTATAAGCTATTATTTTGAAAAACTTCACACCTGGGCCCTTCCTAGAAATGTAAATACATTCGGTTAACAAACTTCTTCAATTCCATTGAGAAGTGAGGAGCAAACTTGTTTTCTTAGAACGGAAATAGCTATCTGTCTTATACAATACCCAGTCCACTTTAGCAACCTAATACGGGCCAAAAAACAAAACAAAACATCTATTTGGAAAACGTCTCTTCTCCAGCCAAGAGCTGTTCCCATATAAAGACAATGCTCAGAACACAGGGGGGAAAAAAAGAAAAGAAACAAAACAAAACAAACAAACAAACAAAAAAACCTCCTCTGAAGGAAGAAATATGCCAGGAAACGAGAGACATGGATCGGGAATAAATAAAGCGTGAGCGTACGCGATCAGTGTAAAGGTTGGAGGCAGCAGGCACAGCGCTGAGATGCTCCAGCGAAAGAACCAGCAGCAGCAGCAGCAGCAGCAGGAAGTTTCAATGGGGCCGGGCAGAGCATGCGCCCTGCACCCGCGCGGTGGCCTTATGTGGAAGGAGCACCACTTGCGAACACCAATAATAGACCAGCAGCACCAGAGAGAGAAACATGAGCAACAAGCACCTTCTTCAACTGTTTCCCCCTCCGTCTGAGCCCCTCCTCCAGCCTACATACTAACCACCCCACCCCACCCTGCAAATGGGAGGGCGACTTCTTCCCCTAAGCCCTGCTGCCAAGATGAAGGGGGAAGGGATTAGAAAAGTGGGGAGATGCTTTTCTATTATTTGGGGGGAGGTGGGGAAAGGGAGGAGGAAAACTATGGGGGAGGAAAAATTAACCCTCTACCCTCCAAAGTGGAGAAGCTGAACCGACTTCGACCCCCAAAGCGAGAATGGAGGAGGACCCCCTCCCATGGGGGAGGAGCAAACCTCCCTACTCTGAGGAAGGAGTTTTGGGGGTTAAACCAGCCCTCAAGGGGAAGGGAAGAGAGACGAGAGCGACTCTCTCGGGGGAGTTCCCACTAGAGGGAGGGAGAGCTGAAGTGTCCGCTGGCCCCCGCCCACCCAGGTGGAGGGAGAGAAAGGGGCGCCCCGAGAAGATGAGCCCAGCCTCCCCCGAGATGGTGGGGAGGATGGTGGGAGGAGGGGAAGGAGCAAGGGAGGGGAGGAGGAGAAAAGCGCAAAGCTGGCCGGAACCTGCGCTCCCCTTCCCCCGCCACCCAGGGGGAGAAGGGGTGGAGGACCGGCCACTGCCGCCGGAGAACAGTCCCAGGGGCCGCCGACCAGCACAATGACCACTCCACGCCCCCAGCCCACACCTAGCCTGCGACGCCCCCACCTCCGCTCCGCGCCAGGCCCAGTGGCCCTAGGGGGTCTCTGCCCCGCCTCCCCACTGCCCAAGACCCTGGGGGCTGGGCGGAGAAGCCGGGCCGGGCGGAGCGGCGCCCCAGGGGAAGGACAGAGCCGCTAAGGCCAGGAAGGTCCGTGAAGAGGAGAGAAGGAGCGTGCCAGGGCCGCTTCCCGCCGGGCGTTCGGGCCCCTTGCTTACCTTCTCCACTGCCGACGTCCGGCGGCGGCGCCTGCAGCACTCGCTCTAGCTCGGGAAACGGCAACTCAGGCAGGTCGAGCAGCGGCCCGTAGCGCTCCAGGAAAGAGCAGACAACGGCGAAGTTGGGGCACGAACCCGGGCAGCCCGGAGGAGCCATCGCCGCCGCCGCTGCTGCCGCCGCCGCCATTTTGAACTGGAGGATGGAGGAGGAGGCGATGGGGGGGTGGAGGGAGTTGGGCTCCGAGGAATGGCAGGGTAGCCTTACGGACAACAGGAGGCGCTAGTGAGCGGGCTCCCCTGTGGTTCCGAGCGTCTCCGGCACGGCGCCGCGATCCCACAATACAACGGCTGTTCGGAGCAGTAGAGAACCGAGTCAGACGGGGGAAAGAGAGGCGCTCTATGCCTTTCACTTTCCGCCCTCTTTCCGCACCCCCTGTCCCACCCTTTACTTCGCCCCTCCCACCTTGGGTTCGCCACTGCCTCGTGTGACAGGGGGAATGAAAACAAGGGAAGCGGGGTAGGGAGGAGGACTGGAAGCTGAAGAGGCGGGACTTTTTCGAGTGGTGGCCAATAGGTTTGGAGGGGGCGGGGCTTCGGGCGAAGACTGGAGGAAAGGCGCTTGCAGGGCGGGGCGAGTGGAGCGAGAGTCTAGCGAGACGGCCCGAGCTAACCAAGGTGAGAGGTAAAGCGCGGAGCCGCTTGGGATCGTAACTCTCCCGAAGAGAGGACGTTGGGTAAGTTTTGGGGGAGCTCCGGGAACTGAAGCCCAGCCACCAGATGGTGGGGGAAGTTGGGGAGCGTGAATAAGAAGCAGAAAAAGGGAAGAATAGGGAAAAAAAACCCGCATGATTCTGGGAGAAGTTTGGAAAGGGAAAGGTAGAGAAGTACCCTTTACTTAGGGGTTGGGATAGGACCTTTGTAGGGAGAAGTGCCTGCGAAGCTTTGTGAGGGGTATTGCTGTCTTCTGGGTACAAGAATCTCAGCCGTGCTGGAAAACAGAGTCTGAGGACTCTGGGGGGCGAGAGCCCGAGGGAACGGCTCTGCTAGTATCACCTGTCTGAGGAGTTGGGGCCCTGGTAGGAGATCATGGTCTGAAGGGACCAACTCTTCAGGCAGACGAAGGTATGAGGGCACAGGGTCCTGCTGTGGTTGCCAAGGTGGGAGGGGAAGGGAGAGCAACGAGGATCTCATGGGACGAGACTTTTTAGAGGGACCAGGGTCAGAGGGTGGGCTAGGACTCCACTAAAAGGACTGACAGGATGAGCGACTTGGTGGAAGAGTAAAACAATTGTTAGAAGACAGGGTTCGACTTCGTTGGGGCCAGAAGTGAGCACCCCAAAGAATCTCAGAAAACCATCAATCATGCAAAGTATGGGATTCAAGGTGCACTATGGTTAGAAGTCTGAGCTTTGGAAGTCAGCCGTACGTGAGTCCTAACAAAAGTGCTTCAGGGGGCGCGGCTCCGTGGGTTAAAGCCTCTGCCTTCGGCTCAGGTCATGATCCCATGGTCCTGGGATCGAGCCTCACATTGGGCTCTCTGCTCCTTGGGGAGCCTGCTTCCTCCTCTCTCTCTGCCTGCCTGTCTGCCTACTTGTGATCTGTCTGTCAAATAAAGTCTTAAAAAAAAAAAAAAAGTGCTTCAGGCCATTGCAGAAGATTCTTCATTTCTTGGAAACTGTGAAGTGGGGGGTGATACCAGTACTTACATCATAGAGTTTTACTAGCTATTCCGGGTAATTGATTAGCACAATGCCCAGGCACATTCACTGCAACTATTTTTAAAACGTTAGTTGCTATTACTGAATAAAAGAATTTCTGAAATTTAGATTGAATTCGCCTATGATTTATATAGTCTATTACTTTGAACCAGAATTTTCTTTTCTTTTTTTTTTAAGATTTTATTTATTTATTTGACAGAGATCACAAGTAGGCAGAGAGGCAGGCGGGGGCCGGGGGGGGGGGCGGGGGATAGGCTCCCCACCGAGCAGAGAGCCCGATGTGGCCCTATCCCAGGACCCTGATATCATGACCTCCGCTGAAGGCAGAGGCTTTAACCCACTGAGCCACCCAAGTGCCCCTGAGCCAGAATTTTCATCGTGCATTTTAAACTTACATAGTACTGGGGAGCCTGGGTGGTTCAATCAGTTAAGCATCCCACTCTTGATATCAGCTCAAGTCTTGATCTCAGGGTCAGAGTTCAAGCCTATCCTTGGGCCCCATGCTGGGCTTGAAAACTACTTTAAAAAAAAAAATGTTAAGGGCTTCTGGGTGGCTCACTTAAGCGCCTGCCTTCAGCTCAGGTTAAGATCTTGGGGTCCTGGAATGGAGCTGGCTCCTGCTGCTTCTCCCTCTGCTCCTCCCCCTACTTGTGCTCTCTTTCTCTCTCCCTCTCTCTGTCAAATAACTAAATTAAATCTTTAAAAAAATTTTAAAGGGAAGCCTGGGTGGCTCAGTCATTAAGCATCTGCCTTTAGCTCAGGTCGAGTGTATTGAGATCCAACCCTGCATTGGGCCCCCTGCTCAGCGGGAAGCCTGCATCTCCCTCTGCCACTCCCCCTGCTTGTGTTCCCTCTATCACTGTGTCTCCCTCTGTCAAATAAATAAAATCTTTTTAAAAAATTTTTAAACTAAAATTTTAAAAAATTCTTTAAACTTTTAAAATTTTTTAAAACTACTTAAAAAGAATTTGAAACAAGGTATGATATAAACCATGTAAAATCAGAAAATTTGTGATTATCAAAGGTAAAATATACAGTATAGGCAAATAACTATATTTGGAACAGAGAAAATGCTTACAATTATTGAATTTTGTTCTGTATTTCAGGAAAGAAACAATGGTCTATATCATTCTTGTTAGCTAAAGAAAAAAAATAATCCTTTTTATCAAGAGAGAAAAAAAATCTAGAGGTGCCTTGGTGGCTCAGTTGGTTAAACCTCCAACTCTTGATTTCAGGGTCACTGGAATTGAGTCCCCCTTTGGGCTCTGTACTGAACCTGGAGCCTGCTTAGGATTCTCTTGCTCCTTTGCCCTCTGCCCCTCCCTGCTCAGGTGTGCGCTCTTTCTCTGTCTCTCTCTCTCTCAAAATAGAAATTTTAAAAAAGAGAAAGAATCCATATCGTGAGTGGAATTTATAACCTAGAATACTGACTCCTAATCCTGAGTAATATACAAACTTTTTTATTTTTTAAAATATTTTATTTATTTGGCACAGAGAGAGCGTGAACATGGGAGCACAAGCAGGGGGAGTGGCAGAGGGAGAGGGAGAAGCAGATTCCCTGCTGGAGCAGGGATCCAGACAAGGGGCTCAATCCCAGGACTCAGAGATCATGACCTGAGCCAAAGGCAGGCACTTAACTGATGGAGCCACGCAGGCACCCCACAAACTTTTTTTTTTTTTTAAGATTTTATTTATTTATTTATTTATTTGAGAAAGAGAAAGAGTGAGAGAGAACATGAGAGGGGAGAAGGTCAGAGGGAGAAGCAGACTTCCCGCAGAGCTGAGAGCCCAATGCGGGACACGGGACTTGATCCTGGGACTCTAGGATCATGACCCGAGCTGAAAGCAGTGGCCCAACCAGCTGAGCCACCCAGGCGCCCACCCCACAAACTCTTTTTAAAGGGAAAGAATTTTTTTGAATTTTTCCAACACTCTTGAAAATTCCATTTTAAGAGATACTACTGTGAGAAATTAAAGTCAACATAACAATGTGAATTTACTTGATGCCAATTAACTATACACTTAAAAATGGTTAAAAGAGTAAATTTTAGGGAAGCCCAGGTGACTCAGTCGGTTGAGTGTCTGCCTTCAGCTCAGGTCATGATTTTAGGGCCCTGGGATAGAGTCCCGCATTTGGCTCCTTGCTCAGTAGGGAGCCTGCTTCTCCCTCTGCCTGCCTGTCCCCCTGCTTGTGCTCTCTCTGTCCCTCTCTCTCTGACAAATAAATAAATAAAATCTTTTTTAAAAAAATTATTAAAAAAAAAAGATTATATCTATTTTCCCACAATAAAAAAGAAAGTAAAGCCTTACTTTAGGAAAATGTCTATGATTGTGAGTTATCATAGCAAAAGACAAGTTTTCATTTAATGTGTAGTAAAATACTGTTTTAAGCAACACTGCTTAAACACAAGTCTAAATTAAAACATTGGTAGAACTCTCAGACTGCTAAGTATGTATCTGTAGACCTGGGGACCTGAAGACCCCAGTTTAAGAAAAATCTGACCTAGAACACATCCTTAATAACAGTTTTGCAGAAGGATACAGAAAATCTTGATAAGATTGTTATTTATTTGACCTTAAATAAAGGACAGATATACAATTATAAATGAAATTACATCTTTGTGAAGCAGAGAAAGGAATTTGTGAAGGAACTTTGATAGAAAGAAATTTCAACCTAATTAAGTTTTAATTATATCATTTTATAACCCTTACCTCCACCCCTTCCTTTCTAGGTTTCACTTTGAGCCATTCCAGCTCTTCACCTCCTACTCTCCCATGGGTTGTAAAATAACATACTAAAAGAAAGCCTTAAACTATAGTTTTCTTTTCTCAATCCTCACACTGTTATTCAAAGAGAGACTGATAAGTAAGGTTAGAGTTTCTCCCTTTTCTAATCCAAACTGGCATGGGAACAAAGTCCTTGGGCATCAGAAAGTTATATCTACCCAAAAGTAAGAAATGTTTTACTACAAGATTTAGATCATAACTTTCAGTGAGTCTGTTCTTGAAAAGAAAATAAACAAACACTCATTATAACACCTCTTTTTGCCTTTCTGGACCCAGAGAAGCTGAAGGTTACAAGAGTCTAATCCCAGTTTATGTCATTAAGTGACTGAGTTATATACATCAGACTAGAATATAAAGATAGAGTAGCCTTAAAAAAAAATCTGTAATTATTTTATTGCTACTGCCATGAAGAAGCCATCAAACAAGCATTAAATTACCTACACTCAGTCTAACTTTATGAATAAGAGATTTCTTAAGATGGTTCATATTTCTCATCCTATTAGGGAAAAAAGAAAACTTGTTCATTCAAAATGAATAGCTAGTTTATTCAAAATACTAAAGAATCTAAAATAACCTAAATGTTTGTCAACAGGAGACTGGATGAATAAATTGTGATTGATTCTTGCAACAGGCTACTATTCATACTAATATACACTTGATACTACAACATGAGTGAATCTCAAAGCCTGTTGAGTGAAAGAAGACAGACACAAAAAATAGGTACTATACAATCCCAGCAATATGATGGTCTAACTAATCTACAGGAATAGAAATAAAATTAGCGGTTTCTTTTGAACTTTGAAAGAGCGACTAGAAAGGTACACAAGGCAACTTTCTGGATACTTTCTATATCTTGGTTGCCAAGTTTATACATTTGTCAAAAGTCTTTTTTT